GTGATCTGACATACATCGCCAGTTTGGTGCCATTTCCCGACCGTCCAGTGCAATTTTTGGACAACCTCGCTAGGAAGGTTGTCGGCCCACAGTTCCATGAGGCGACACCAGCTAGTGGGGGAGATGACGGTATCGATGCAGGTGACGAGCATGACGATGAGTCCGGTGCAGGGGTCGAAGACGTTGACACATCTGCGAGCGATAGCTATCACACATCGGAGGGCAACGGGGAGGATGTGTCTAAGCTTGATGACAGTGGAGAAAGCGGTTGCGACCCCTCCAGCGAGATCGGTGGTAGTGACAGCGAGAACAAAGTGGATGCCTCAGGACGGCAGTCGGGTACATTACCCACTCCAGTGGTTGCCCCATCCACATCTGGGGTTCAGGGTACGCGTGGTGGAGTGACTTTGACGAGGGAGGACATGGACGACATGTATGATCAGCGCATCCTCTTCGAGATGAGGTTGCGGACCGTGAAACTTGAAATCATGCAGCACGTCACCGAGGAATTCGCCAGACTGAGGGACTTCATATCTACCTTGGTGCCCCCGTCTAGTGGCACCTCCACTTCCGCTGCGGCTCCGGTAGTGAATAAGCTAAACCTTTGGGACGACCCCCACGAAGGTATGAGTTTATGTTACTGTTACTTCCATTTACAACATGTGTACAATTTTTCCTATGCATTTCCTTACAAATGTATTTTTGAAATTGCCAAATTACTTAGATGTACATGGAGGCGACATGGACCTGTGCCCGGATGACGATGGTCGTCCTTCCCCTATCGGGAACTTGGATGTGAATGGTATGTCCGATAGTTCTATATAACACATTTTTGGTCTTCAATGTCATGTCATCTCGTGATATGCTAGTCTATTGAATTTGACTGTAATAATAATTGTTTTTTTTCAAGTAGATGGGTAAGGCAGCAACGTACGGAGCCCACATGACGACGACCTTGCTGACAAGGCTGAAATGCAGGAGGAGAACGGTACGTGTGTAAATTTTGTATTTTATGTCATCTCATCTCCTGATATCATTCTTGTCATATTTTATTCGCCTTTACTTACTGTCTTCAATTTAAGTCGTTCAATAATTTCTTATTTGTTTTCGAGTAGCCGAGGAAGGCAGCGACAAACAGAGCACACACGACGACGACCATGCAGACGAGGGTGAAATGCATGCGGTGAACGGTACGTTCGCTATTTTTTTCACCTTCTGTCGTCTCATTTCGTCATACGCATATGTATTCAATTTCACTCGTTCATTCATTTGTTCTCTGTCTTCCAACTAGACGGGGAAGACGGAGACAAACAGAGCCCAGAGGACGACGACCGTACGGAGGAGGGTGACATGCAGGACATGAACGGTACGTGCGTAATGTTTGCCTACTTCTGTGATTTGGGTTCTATTACGAAACACTTCTCCCTATGCAAATGATAATTCATATCTTCTGTTTGTCCATTTCACCCAATTTCCTTTGAACTAAACCCAAGAGAGACAGTCCCTACCCTTCCCAGTGACAACAACGAGGAAGGCCCATCGACCCATGACGTCACGGAGGTGGACGGTATATATTTTTTTTCCTTCAATAATCTGATTCCACGACTATGTGGCGTTGTTCACACAGAACCATTTCACTAAACTATTGAAATGTTTTATATGGGTGCTAACATAGAGTTGCCAGCACAAGTGACCATACCGGAGAAAGGAGACAATGTGGGCAGTACAAATAGGCGGCGATCGACTCGTGTTCGACGTCCTGCACCACCTACCCGGACACCATACACGAGGTGAAGGGCAAAGAGAGTAAAGAAATGAGTGAGTTCAAGTGGTTTGGTAAGGTTTGATGTAGTAGTAGATACATTGTTGGTAACAGAGACATGCTTTGAATTTGGTTTAATTTATGGACTGATACGTTTGCTCACCCATATGCTACACGTTAAATTGTCTTATGTACAATACATTAATGTTTAGTGCAAGCATGGGATGGTATTGTCGGTACATTTTGTGTGTATGCGTTGACGACATAATGCATTTACTGTTCCTGAAATATGCTACACGTTAAACTGTCTTTTGTAGAGTACATATCGTTTTCTATAATACATGTTTAGTGCAAGCATGGGATGGTAGTATCGGTAAATTTTGTGTGTATGTTGTGTGTATGCGTTGACGACATAATGCATGTCTTCTTCATGAAATGTGAAAGGGTACATCAACATCATAACTAAAATGAATATATCATCATTCTTATACATCCCAGTCATATGATTTGTCAACACAAACTGACGATTTTTCTTGTTAGAGTCCACACAAAAATCTGCATGCGTACCCGCAACCTCAGCACGAAGTGCAGAGTTGACTCCTGGTCTGGTGGGATTCCTTCCTTGTCCTGAATTGTAGCTTTAACATTATCGCGGGTGTCGGAGCTTTCACCTTCACGGGTTATTATCTTCCCAGTAAGGGTTTTGTGCCTGCCACCACCAAGCCTCAACACGAAATGGAGTGTGAACTCCTTATCAATTTTATAGTCACCCGAACTACAGCCATCCGAAGCTATTAACCAGCGACCATGAGCCTCTGTGTTGGTCTGGTGCGATGCCTTTGTTGTCTTGTATGTTGGCTTCACCATTATATTTATGGCTTGTATTGTTTATGAACCCTTTCACATATCATAAACAATACAAGCCATAAATATAATGGTTATTAGATTGCCTGCACGTTTTCTACTCCATGGGTGAGTACATTTTTTGGTTCTTACGTTGATTGGATGGATAGTTACGAACTTGCTCTGCTCTGTCATTTCACTTTAGTGGACACCTGATGTAGGTAGGCAGCTGATTAATTCGGAGGGCTAATTTTTCAGTTGAGCATGTGCTTTCATTGAGGTGTGATGATGATTTTTTGTACAATGATGAAGAGGTGTAGTTAATAGCACCAAATAACAGCCAAAGGGATCCAAACCTAGGTTCATGCCTGAAGGTGCAACTGTGGAGACGATTACATCGTATCACATATGATGTAATCGTTGATGATGCCAAGGGGGTTTATGAGATTACTTCAATTCCATATAGGGATATAGTTAAGTGGAACGCACATTCAGACATGACATTTGTTTGTACTGTAATTAATTTGATGTTCATCGTACTTGATAAAGTAGTAGTATTCTGTAATTTTAGTTCATTGGAGTTGAAGGTGTTATACCTGCACAAATGAGTCATGGTATGAAATGATCTTCTGTGTAATGGAGTGTGGTCGAACGATCGAGGACAATGATTATTGTAAAATTCACATTACCGTAGAATGAAAAATTCAGTGTTATCTTTGCTACGTTGGCCCCAACATTACAACCGATGTATGTTTATTTCGACATGCGTTTGAGTATAAATTCGCTCGTAGAAATTAAAGTTTATTTTAAAAATGGCTTGTAAAGTCATCCAATGTTCATCTTCATTGGCAGGGACATTAATTTTATCAATTTTTCATGCAATTCATATGATTTCGAATTAAAAAACGGTATTTAATTATGACTAATGAATACATAAATTCTGTTAAGTAATGTAAGTACAAATACATTGCAGGAATGTCCATTGCAGGTATTGCACATGGGTACAATTTACTCATAATTGTCATCATTTATGGACCGCATTAAAGTACACTTACACCCTTAACCATCACACTAAACCATTCAATCAAGTGTTAAGTAGAAATGAAATGGTGGTTGGTTGGTAAATTGCTTTAAATGTTCTCATATACCTCCAGTATAAAGTAAGGCTTGCACTCTTCAAATGGGATATATGGAACTCTTTCAGAGGCATCTTGTAGCAGGAACATATCAAAGTATTTGAAGTCTATTTCTTCGTACGAAAATAATGGCATCGTCCACAGGAAGCAATTCACCGCTGGCACTTCAGGAGCCGATGCCAACACCCGGTTCAACCCCGCTATGTCCCATCGTAATTTCTTCCGATGATGAGGAAGTGAGTTCGAATGGTGGTAAGAGAGCCATCACTGTCGTTCCCTTTCTGAACCTAAATGAAGTTGCAAGTGATGAAGGTGAGTCTCCAAGAAATGTGCTTGAATGGGTCGTCCCATTTATGGATGCAGACGAAGATCAACGTTACGAGGATGAGGGGCAAGGTCGCATTCCATCGCCTGAGATAATTGTCATCAGCTAAGATGATGACGGTGGGGAAGAAGGTTCAAGTGTTAGCTCCGAGTGAAGAGTCCGGCTTTGTTGCGTGTGTGGGTTTCTACGTATGTATGTATAGAGGTTTTTTGTAACGGATGGATTTTGTGAAGCTTAACCAATTCTGTAGCAAGTAGGAAACTCCCGTTGGCAAGTTATGTGTTTTTTGTATTTTGTTAAGCGGAGCGTCGCACAACTATCGAGAATGGCGGGCACCATCTGTCGGGAACGACAGATGAACTGTCGCGGTTTACTGGCAAATTTTCTGTGTATGTAGTATGCATATTCAAATGACATGTAGTTTGGGTGAACGAACACGACCTAATGTGTACATTGAACATAGTTTGTGCACTTTCTGGACAGTGTTATGCGCTACAAATGATGGTTCGTAATATGCATTTCAAAGGAAACTTCTATAATGGTTGAACTTTTCATATTCCATACATTCTATTTACACGTGTCAACAATCACAACAATGTTATGCACAACAAATTTGTATTTTGGTTCGAGACAGTTATGCAGTGCGTTGTGCCATTTGCGTTGTATAAATGTTAATATAACAAAGAGTAATGTTTATGCGTAAGAGAATGAAAACATTAATAGAATATTTACATCGTCATATACAAACAACATCGGGGGAACACTTCACTTACAACTTCAACCACTCACGTACAAAATGCTGCTTACATCGGACGTGGTACAGTGTGGTTCGAACATGTGGTCCGGTTATGACCAAGTCCACCGCAGCGAGTGCATTTCCTAAGCCGTATGGTGTACTCGTGTCTGGATCGCTTACGTCGTGTAGCTAGTCTACCTAGAGGACGACGCACCCTAGGGGCATAATAAGAGTACCTATAATTTCGGGTGGAACATTCCAGTCCATTTCACGCTGAATAGGATATATAGCTTCTCCATAGGCACCCTTCCAGTACTCAGATGTGTAACACGGTGAGAAGAGATCGTACAATGACGTACCTCTCAAGCAAACAGCATGGGTTGCATGAACGCACGGCATACAATTTAACTGGAACTCACGACAAGTGCACGTCTTTTCGGAGAAGTCTACGATGTCCGTGTCGTTGGATATTCCAACTTGTGTTAAATTATTTGTTAAGCCATGCGCTCGCAGGCTAGTACCTATTTCGAACGTCGTCCGTAACTCATTCTCCATCGTTGGTGAAAGAACGGTACTGCATGTGGTTGCACTTGCTCGACGTTCATAAAACCACTTCTGCATAGTATGCCGAATGTGTTCCACTAAGCACGTGATTGGTAACGAACGGGCATGCCTCAACATTGATTTCAAAGATTCTACATTGTTGTTCGTCAAAATGTTGTACCGTTGGCCAACAAATAGTGCACGTGACCAAAATGGGAAACCTACTCGCTCCAAGTACCCGTACGCTCTTGCACTAACCCTACGAAGATGTCCCATAAGTCTTTCAGACTCTTCGATCCGGTAAGTTCTTGTGGCTCTTTTGAATAGAAATATTGAACTTGCGTTGTTGTACTGCTGGATTAAATTCTTTTCCATATGCCAAACATAGCACCCGTGGTGAGCCAGGGGAAATAGGTTAGCAATGGCATTTTTAATACTATTTTTCCTGTCGGAAACAAACACCAATTCGTCCGAGTCACCTATAAGATCTTTCAAATTTGATAAAAACCACATCCACGATTTATTCGTTTCGGCATAAACAATCCCCCACGCTAACAGATAAATCTGTTTGTTGGCGTCTTGGGCAATTGCCAGTAGAAGGGTACCTTTGTACGGACCTTTCAAGTGACTGTTGTCAACACAAATAACGGGCCTCATGTAGTGCAAGTAACCCCGAATGCTTGCACCGAAAGCTAGGAAAAGGTAGTGAAACCTGTTACGAGAATCTACTTCGATGTGTGTTACTGTCCCCGGGTTACTCTCTCTTAGGACGTGACAATATGAAGAAAGTTTTTGAAAGCTATCACCCGGTGTACCATGTAGCAAATGTAAAGCAGCGACCTTTTCCCTACGTGCTTGATGGTAACTAATTTTCACACCAAACTCACGTTCCATGTCACGAGCAATAGCGGTAGGATCATACGATCCGTACGTATAATCCAATTTTCCCATAATCTGCTCAGCAATTACGGAACTAGTGGCATGTCGATGTGTATTACGACGATAATCTATGGAACATGTGTGCACATTGTTGAATTTGCGGATCATGAAGATGGTGGACTGCTTCACACTCGAAGCACGTAACATCCACTTACAATTATCGTCGGCACATACAACGGTTAACATTTTTTGGCTTGACCTGCTAACCTGAAATTGAAACTTCTCTCGCAACACAAGTAGACGAATTCTCGAGTACAACTCTTTCTTGGTAAAAAATATTTCCCTTTCGGTAAGATCCAGCGTATTCACAGTGAAAATCCAGTCGCATGTATCCGGACTTTTGGAATGTGGTAATAGTTCTTCATCAACGTCAGCAATATTACCAGTATTTGTACCATGTAAGGGATCGTCAAACATCTCATGTAATGGTGCAGCCCGAACATCAAAAATTGGAGTATCCGCTGCATTATTGTTTGGGATACTTTGCTGACGATTGAGCTCGTCGTCCTGTACGGTGTGGTGATCTTCCGCTGCGGCGAACAATTCTTGGCTCTAATTTGTATCCCTCTCCATTTCAACACTGGCAGGCCGGTTTCCAAAGTCGTAACGCAGAGGACAGTTTCCTTATGAACTGATATGTACTAATTTACGTCTTCATCTTCAAGTATTTTGACCGGCGGTATATTCATGTTCGGAACTTTGAACTTCAATTCCAATTTTGTGCACGGATTGAAAACACCAAGTTTCTCGTTCAACCGTAACAATGGCTCCGGTAGTGTGATACTACTCGGCACTAAAATGGAAGTGGTTTTGTCCCCAGTCCACTTCCATTCGTCATTCACGAAAACAAACTTTCCCCCGTGTGACACGATGAATCTCAAATTATTGTTCATACCTGAAATGTTGGGAGTGCAACGATAAGAATTATGCGCAATCAAAATATCAACTATATAATAGCATGGAAGTGACACGTTCCAATATTTAAACCTATGCAATACTACAAGGTCAAATTAAGGGTGTCAAGAATTTTCAGCTGTCCAATTCGACAGTTTACTTATCTATCCTGGCATTTTATAAATGTCGGGTACGACAGTTTCAAAATGTCGAGTTCGATGGTTCAAGTGTCGGAACTGCCAAGAAGCTTCAAATGTGTTTGGTAGCATTAATGCTTATAATCATTTCTCAACTACAACATCACAACCTATTTCCAGAAATAAATGATTGAATGCTTCATTAAATATGTAATACTTCACATTTTCCAAAATATTTTTGGTATGTCTTTCCTTCAACAATATTAAAAAGACAAGATCATCATGTTGTTTTTAACATTCTAAGAAAAAGTAATCTATTATATAGAAATATAAACAATTCGTAACAACTGACCTTTCAAGATAGATGAAGAAGATGGATGAAGTAATGTCTTTTTCAGGAAGAAGAAAATGGATGAAGAAAATGAATGAAGTAAGGGTTTGTTTGACAATAATTTTTTTTTTTTTAATGTTAACTAGGGTTTTGAAGGATTTTATATTCATTTTTTATTAACTACATTCGTATTTTATAATATAATATTCATATTTTCAATGATTATAATATACAAATTAAACAATCAAATCACAACATTAATTGTTTTGAAAAGCAATCATAAAGGAGCATTAAATGCTCCAAAAAAGTCAAATTAAGGGTAATTTAGACATTTGACAACAAGAAAATGACATTTTTGTACAAATTGTGTGCACATCAAAGTTTTTTGTGCATTTTCAAAAAAAGTGACATTTTGGTAAATTCCCCTTAAAATTTATTAAATGTCAGATGTTATTAATTATTAAAATATTAATTTAGAGATGTCAGTACAATAAAGTTATAATAATTGACAGGATGCCATTAAAACAGCAATTTCATGTCCAAATCTAGACTGATTACTCAAATCCATTAATACAATTCTCAAAATTTTCTACATTTAAAATAAATAAGGAGGGAAATTAAAATCTAAAACGGGATGGAACAAGGTGACCATTTGGTTGTCATCGTAGACAAGGGGTGGATGCAGACATTTTACATTAGAGGGCCACAATCAAACTTTTAAAAATAGTGACGAAATATTTTTTTATTACTTTATATGAATTATAAATTGTTATACTACTTTTTTCATCTTGATTATTTTTACATCTAAAAAAAATTTATATATAAACAAATTCGATCATTTTTAGGATTTTTTTTATTATTGTTACTTTTTGCTCTCAATCAATTAATTTTTTTAAAATAATCTAAAATTCCTAATAAAATTTTTGACGTCATTTGAAAAAAAAAATTTGATCGAGAGAAAAATGTAATAATAATAAAAAAAATCCTAAAAATGATAGAATTTTTTTTATATATAAAATTTTTTTCAGATATAAAAATAATCAAGATGAAAAAGTAGTATAATAATTTATAACCCCTATGAAATAATAAAAATTTTATTAAGAATTTTTTACATCAAAAAAAAAAAAATTTGACGTCATACCACATATAAAATTTTCTAATAAAATGATGTAAATTATATTGAGAAATTTTTCGCGCAAAAATAATAAACAATAATAAAATAATTGATTTTTTCAAAAAAGACGAGTTATACGTCTCTTTTTGGCATACACATTAGACATACGTTTAACTATTATCGATATTCATTTAGATCATTCGATGTGTTTATGATATAATTCTCAAAATGAGTTTCAAAAATATATAAAAGATTTATGGATATGACTAACGTATAAGTGTCGAAAAATTTTTAAAGTTAGCTTGTTATCGAAATTCTTGAAATATTAGTTTGAAACAGCTTACTTTGGCGAGTGGTAACATTTACTACGATTGGCCATTTCGCACACTATTAACGACATGAAATACTAAGCCGTAAGTATTTCAAAATGATATTAAAAATGTAATGTTTCAATTTCGCTTGATATTCCATTGTGACCTGAAAAATAAGACAAAAAAATTAAGAATGTAATATTTTAATTTCGTTTAATATTCCATAGTGAACCCTTTGAAAAAATTGGAGGGTCAAGTGATTCTATGGGACCCCCTTGGGTCCGCCCCTGATCGTTAACTATTCTTCATAGATGTTTCCACATACACCCTATATTCATAAGATCCATAATCATCATATCAAATTTGAATTTCGAAATTGAAACTTTGGCTAGATATTGTGTTGGCTTATCTTATTTACAAGCTTGGTTAAACCTTTTCTTGCTATTCTATTTTGTTTTTTTCACTCTGTTAACCTAAAAATATCCTAATTAATTTGTGAAATAGTTAGTCACTAATTTGGACGAAGTCGTCACGGAAAGCGTTGAAAGTGCAATTCTAGGTGAAGTGTTTAGGTTATGCCCCCCATAGGACGGTCGTCAACTTATGCAAAGAAGAAAGAAATTCAAATCCCCAATTTCTTTAGACACTCTTGTTTTCTTTTATTTCCTTGTTTTAACTTTGACTCTAGAATTCTTTTCTTATGGCCAACTTTGAATTTTCTTTCCATATTTATGGTCTATTTTTTTTTTTGTTGAACAAGCATTCATCTCATTTTCATTATTTTCAAAATATATATTTATCTATCTTCTTTTTAATTACAAATTCTTCAATAAAATAATATTGCACGTAAACCCAAATTTTTATTTTTTAACCAGACATTCTCCATCAGTCTACTATTTCAAAATACATTCTTAGCTAAAAATAGAGCTCAAACAACCATTTTTAAGTTAATGTCAATAATTAATTTTAATCACATATTTAATGAGAATATCGATTTTTATTAATTCTTCAATCGTATATTTCATCAATTTTAATAATTTTACAATATATATAAAATTAAGAAATGTATAAAAAATAATAAAATGGAGTATAAATTGAATTTAGGACATGCGGTTTGGCTTTTTATTGTTCCACCTTCTCTTTGAAGAACCTAGAGTCCTATATTGGGACGTGTGCATAGTGTTGAAATGTAAAGTCAATCATAATCAGATAATTCATTTAAGTGTTTGATTTGAATAATTCGAGAATTAAGCGTATTTGTTTTGTAGTGAGTCATTTATAGGATCAATTCGAATTGGCTCTAATTCGTTTAGAAAATATGGTTCGAGTACATTCTAATAAATTTTCTAACTTTGGAGATACAACTTTGAAACCCTAACTTGTTCCTTTGTATTAACAGTCCTTTGTGAACCCATCTAGGACTATAATTGTCCTTGATTAGGTCTAAATTAGTTCAGTCAATTAACAAAGTTTTTATATAGTTTGAACTGATACTGAACACATTTTAAATTTT